AGCTATCTTTCTTCCACCACTGGTTATACATTACACTATAGTTTAAAATGATGGCTTAGGTTGATGAGTGCCCCTGACCCTCATTCTGGGCAGACAATACGGGGTGCCTTCAGGTGAACACAGTGGTCATCTGAGCTATTTGCTTCCCTTCCCGCATATGCAAGAGAGATCTGCTATATCTCAAACTTCTAGGGAAACTGAACTGTTGGTGGTTCCTTGTACTCTAAATGCTGAGCTTTTGAATTATTTTATTGTTTCTACATGGTTTGAGGTTCTACTGCTCACTGCCACTTATAATTGTCTCCAGTTTTTTGCTGCATTTTGCTTTTCTTGTCCCTTCTATGTCATTGATACAATATTTCTCAGCACTTATGTAAAAAAGGAAAAAAAGGAATTCACACAAACATTGCCAGTACATCAGATAAATTTTTCTCTTGGAATTAAACAATTGTAGCACAAAAGGTATCGTCTTGACCTTCCCTTGGCAACTATCCTTTGTTTGATGAATTTTTCCCTAAAGACAACTTGGTTTGGCCTACTGCTAGGTTTAGAGCAGCTCTATAGATTTGAGGATGGTGGAACACGGGTCAGTCAACAGATGTCCAAAGTTCTCTTCTGGTCTAACACTTTGTAAAAGAAACTTCTTAAAAGATTTAGCCATGAAGATAACTAAGTTCAAGAACAGAACAACATTAATTTGGAAATAAGTCCATGAAACTATAACACAACCAAATTATTCCCCTAAAGAACTGAAGAAATAGCACACTGAAGACAGAATCACTAGACTCACCGGTTGTCAGTGCTGTGAGCTGGGAAGTGTGGGTAAAGGGCACAGAGAAGAGCAGCAATGGAAGAGTTTGATGTGCTCAAAGAGTACCTGCAAAACAAATTTGGTAGGGACTGATGTATTAATTACACTGAGCATACTTTTAAGACATTCTTGAGAATTAGGAAATTGGGGTATTGTGGCAAGGCATACTGAGGAGATGCCCTCATAAATACAAGTGTGCCAATGGTGTGAATGTTTCACTTTTTAGTTAGTCCTTAAGCCATTTCAAGATAGTCTGCTATTTAAATCCCACAAATGTTTAAACTTCAATGCTTAAATTAATAAGCAAGGTTTTAACCTAAAATAGCATAGTAGTGAGCCATGATTATGGACCTAGAAATTATAAATATTAAAGAGTCATGAATAAAGTCATTAATAAAGCCACCTTCTTTTTCAGTTTTATAAATGCCTATTTATAAAATTATGAACCTGAATTTTAAAAATA